CCTCGAACGGGCCTGCAAAATCAATGTGTAGCCTTTCCCACGGGTTGTCAGGAACGGACCACGAGTATATAGGCAATTCAGCGTTGTTCGGCCGATTCTCTTGGCATTTGCGACAACGTTTAATGTACTCCTCAATGTCATCATCAATGGACGGCCACCATACGTAAAAACGTGCTAGCGCTCTCATTGCGGATATGCCTGGGTGTCCTGTATGCAGATATTCCAAGGTGGCCTTTCTCAGGGTGTTCGGTATTACTATTCGACCTTGCCACATTAATATCTTACTTTCAATGGACAACTCAGTGCGCTTCCGAGCATAGGGCTTTAAGTCATCTGAATAAAAATTTTCACGCCAGCCGGTCTTAATGTACTCTGATACCTGTTTAAGCAAAGGGTCCTTCCTTGTCGCGCCTCGTACACTGTCCTCTGTTAACGCAATATCCGAAACTCTTTCATGCTGCAACTGAGCTACCACTCTGTGTACTGTCAATTCTGCATTAGACGGTTTATCTTCTGGATTGGGCATCCTAGAAAGAAAATCAGCCATAAAATTTAGATGCCCTTTTGTAAAAACTATATCGTAGTCATACCCTCCAATGATTAAAGCCCAACGCACTAGACGGTTATTGACAATCTTCGGCAAGTTACGTTGTGGCCCCAAAACGTGAATCAATGGCTTATGATCAGTGCTAAGTATGAATTTGGTACCACGTAAATATTGATCAAACTTTTGGATTCCAAAAAATATTGCTAAAGCTTCTCGGTCAATATTTGAATATTTAGTTTCCGCTGGTCTTAGTTTCCTTGAAGCAAAAACGATAGGTTGAATTTTGTCTGCCGATTTATGATATAGGACGGCACCCACACCTTTTTCCGAGGCATCGCAGGCTAAATACAATGGGCGCTTTTCGTCAAAAGCAACAAGCGGTTTCGATTTACTAATAAGATCTTTTGCGTTCTTAAAACTCGTATTTTCTTTGACGGTCCATTGCCACTTCCGGCGACCACCAGTCAATGCATGCAGATCTGCGCAGACACTATGTAGGTGAGGAATAAATTTCTCGTAAAAATTTATAAGACCTAAGAACGACCGCAGTTCTTGGGCGTTAGTGGGCGGTGTCGCTTTCATTATTGCATCAATTTTCGATTTCGTCGGCCTAATTCCGTCTTTAGTAATTGTGTGCCCTAGGTATTCAATCTCTGTCTGGAAAAATGAACATTTCTTTAAATTGACTTTTAAGCCCGCCTTATCTAATTTGCTAAACACGGTCGATAGCGTTTGGAGGTGTTCAATGTCATTTTTCCCTGTTAAGGCAATGTCGTCAAAATACACTGCGACATTTGGTACACCGTCCAAAAGTTCATCCAAGTAATGTTGGAAAATTGAAGGAGTTGTTGAGATTCCAAATGGCATCCTATTGTATTGATAATATCCTTTGTGCGTAGAGATTGTCAGGTACTGTTTCGACTCTGGAGCTATTTCAAATTGCAAGTACGCATCCCTTAAATCTATTTTCGAAAATTTGGCTCCATTTGCCAGATTTTGTCGTAGCTGGTCAAAGAGTGGGACTGGGTGAGAATGAGTGACAATAACAGGATTAAGAGTGCTACGAAAATCACCGCAAATTCGGATTTGGCCATTTGTTTTTACGACATTCACTGTGGGTACACCCACAGTGCCCATTCTAATGGCGTGACATTTGGATCAACTTTAGTCACGATTCCTTCGTCAACTAAACGTTGAAGTTCAATTTCTATGTTTTTACGCATGGAAAACTTAACTGGTCGAGCAGGGACATGTTTAGGTACTGCCCCAGGTTTTATATGAATGTTGACTTCATAATTTTTAACTTTTCCTAGTTTATTATCAAAAAGGGATGAAAAGGTTGAAAGTACCTGTTTAAGCGTAGTGGTGTGTTGAACGGGTTTAACCGAATAGACTGGCTCTGGGAATGTCATTTTATACATCTCGCTCCACTGGAGGCCAAAAAGCATTGGATTGGCGTCTTCCATAACCACAACAGGTAATATTTTCCGCTCTCCCATGATTTCAACGGTTACGTCTGTGAGACCTTTTGGTTTGAGCTTAAGGTTCCCATAAGCTCGTAGCTTCGGTGCCTTGGTTAGACCTCTCTATTCTCCGATCCGCTTCCAGAAATTTGTGCTAATAATGGAGTACACGGATCCTGGGTCCCAATCGAATGTGCAACTGACACCGTTGACGGTTACATCAATTCTCTTGCTGTCCTTGTTTCTCTTGCGTTCAACCTTGAAGACATCATCACTTTCATCAGAACTCGTGTCAAAAGACTGTGACGAACTTCCATCATTGTGTGCATTGTTCTAAATTTTATGCAGTTTGTTACTATAATTGGTTGGTTGTTTCTTTTCTGTCGCGGTGCTCGCTAAATATACCAGACTTTATACAGCAACTTTCAAAATGACCTTGTATGTGGCATTCATCGCATGTATGGTCTTTTGCCTTGCAAACGTTTAGCCTATGTCTCTCTTGTGCACCGCATCGACGGCACTGGTTTGGACTTAGTTTGCGTAGAAACGTACATTGTTTATAGTGACGTCCTGTACTTGTTCTTGCTCTTACTTTATTAGCGGTAGCGGGCATGCTACTATCAGCATCACCTTCTGCTAACTCTCTGGACTGAGCTACTGCAAAGAATTGATCGAAAGTAACCTCTATAAGTTTTCCGTCGTAAGTCTCTTGTAGGTCTGGCCATTTCTGTTTTAGGTCCACTTCTAGTTGAGGGAAATTTAAGCCGGTAGCAAATCGATCGCGCAATTGACGTTGAAACATTGTGTCCTTGTAGCCACAATCGCTGGCGAGTTTCTTTAGCCTGTTAGCATACTGTTCCATAGTCTCGTTGTGGGCTCGTACGCAACTCCAAAATTCAGTTAGTGCTTTATACCTCGTAACTTTAGTTCGATGTAAATCGAGTAGTTTAGACTTAATGTCATTGTAGGAACTGTTTCCAAAGTTAGGAACGAGTGCTATTTTTAGGTCGTGAAATATCTCAGGAGACATACATGAAATGTATGTCTCCTGAGTCTGAGTCTCTCCAGTCAACCGTGACCATGGGACCTGTAAAGGGCCCGAAACGTCGGTTTGTTTGAAAAAATATACGCGATTTAAATCCGGAAAAATAGTTTCATTCCGACATACATGAAAATAATAATTCTTTCCTTGTGTCATTATCACTTACGGCCCATATGTCACATTTGGCTTCGAAAAAATCTAAAAATTTTTCTACCGATACAGTCGCAGGGTTAAAAGTGTCGCATTTGAAACTTTTAATAATTGTGTACTTGTTGCTGCTTGCCGAGCTGGTAGGTTCCGTGCCAGGTGTTGCTGGCGTGGGGAGCTCCACTGCTGGTCGTTGCTGCAACACAAGTTGTTGCAAAATGTCCGAAATCTGTTGTTGCTGATTTTTTTGTAATTGTAGAAATTCTTGGAATTGTTCCTTATTCATTTTGTTTGGTTACTCCTCGTCGCCAATGAAATAAACTAATATTAACATAATCCAAGCATTTATATTATTTGCAGAAGACATTTTTCAGTGTCAATTTTAACCATAGATCTACCAACCATAGTGTATATATATGTATATATAACAAGGGTCGTATTTCCAGTGCTTGAAATCATACTCAAGTCTGCTCAAATCCTGACTTGAGCATTGAGTAGAGGTCTGGAATACGACCCTTAGTCTACGTTACGGTATTTATATAAAGTGATATTAGACAGTCAAAAAAGATGCTCAGACGGCAAACAAGTAGCGACAATCGCCAAATATCGTAGACTTATTGTACTTAGATATTGCCAAACTACTTTTCTTGCAGACCAATATAGATAGGATCAGCTCGATTCAATAGGGATTAAGTTTTCTTATTAAGAGTTTTGGCTTGGATACAAGTCCTTTGAGCCATATCTTCGTTTTCTCTTTATGTTATCTTTTATCTTTCTTATCGTATCGGGATCCTCCTTGGATCCTTTTAAATAACTTAGTTCACTTATTTGGGTTTTTTAAATAGTCTTAAGCGGCAGGAGTTAATATTTATCTTTTCACTTTCATTTAAATCACATTATCACTTTGAACAAAAACTTTGAATTTGTAATTATTGGAATTTCTAGGCTAGTCTTTTTCATTTGATTTAAAATAAGGAATATAGTTCTAACTTTCTTTATCACTTTCTTCATTTCTTTCTTCAATTTTTCTTCATAATATACATAAAATACAAGTAATCTTTGTAAAAGCTGTACTTGTAACTTCAAAAGCCCGCCATTTTTCCTATTTTGGGGATTGAGAAATATGTAATAGTATAGGTATGCTTACCGCGGACTTAATAAATAAAACGTTCAATCGCACGACCACTATTTATTTCACCAACCACACATTAAGAAAGGCGAAGGAGAAAGTACAAATTTTTGCAAGGCGTTTTGAAGCATAGTAGTTTACGAGGAGCAATATGGAAACTAAGTGTTATAATAGCGAAAGCATTAACGCGTCTTATCCGCGCAGTGAGTTAGCGAACGTACGAGCGACAATAACTTTAAATTAAAAATTTGCTTTCGTTTGTCCGCTTCGACATACAACTTATCGTACCACAAAATAAATTACAGATTTTAAGAAATGTTTAGTTCATATAAAAATAAATATAAAAATAAATAACCAAAGTAATAAAATAACTTAAGCAAATTTGAAACGTAAGTACAAGTAACGCTACAAATGTATGCTTTGCTTAGAGATATTTTATTTAATTTAAAGACGTACGATAATATTATCTAGACGATTCGATTCGCCGTAATGTTGAATAGATTTACTTAAACATTGCATTGAAATGAATCGATACAAACATTCGCTAGATCGTATACTCTTGAATCGATCTTCATAAAAATCGAATCGTAATGTTCATCCCTACTTTGAGTGCTTCTTCTTTCTTGCTTGCTTTGATTTGCGTATGCGGGTTTAATTTTGGGATTTGGAGGTATTGTTCTGTAATCCCTTGATATTTATATGAAAATAATTAATCGCGTAACTAAGCTATATTCCCTTTACTGAAAAGATTGTGTAATTTAATCGAGTACTGAGGATGATATGCGAAATTGAAAAAGCGTCTAGTTGTCTTGCATAGATTAATAATTCAATGCTGTTGTGATGGTTTAACGTGAAAGTGCTGTGATAAACCAATAATCATGGCAAGTCCGTCGCCGCAAAGCAGTCCTATGCCGCCACCGCAGGCTCCAAGCCCTATGGGGCCACCAACACAAAGTCCTGCACCGCCCCATTCGCCGCATAGTCCTTACAATGGACCTCCTCCAGCTCACCCTTCTGGGCCTGGACAACCAATGCCCAATCATTTGTCTCCGGGAGGACCTATACCGCCCAACAGTAACGGGCCGCCACCGCAGCACGGCATGCCGCCGAGCGGTCATCCTATGCCTCCTCACATGGTAGGACCGCATATGCCGGGGCCCCCGGGACACTCTCCGCACCCGCCTGGCCCCAATGGCCACCCGACCATGCCTGGGGTTCAGCACCCTCCAATGCCTGGTCAGGGACCACCACATGGATATATGCAACATCAAATGGGTCACATGCCATCTGGACAGGTAATTTTATCAATAAACATAGTATTGCTGTTATAATATTTATTTTTTCCATAATTTCAAAGAGTTATAATGACAATTATAGAGGTGGATGCTTAAACGAAAAGCACTTTTTTTCAAAAGTTTGCTTTTTAAAATAAGCAGTTGAGCACACTTCTTATTTTAAGCATAAGCATTGGTCAGTTCTATACTCAACAATTTCATTTTTTACAACTTGCCTAAATTTCAAATCTCACCATTTATGTTTCCTAAACAAATTAATTCATCAAAGTGAATAATAACTTTAAACTCACTTAACTTAAAACCTTCAGTGGTCTACTCTTGCTTTTTGCTATCAATACAAGTTGCAAGCTTGTTTTTAACATAAAAGTCTATGCGCTTAAACAATTTTTTAAGCTTCAAACTAAAAAGCGTTTATGTGAATAGCATCTAAAAAACCACACTTTTTTAAAGAAGCTATGTTGAAACATTTAAAAAAAATAGCAGTTTTTCCCATCTTTAATTATTTAAACAGCATGTAAATTTTCAAATGACAGAGACATAAAATGCTATAAAAATGAGAATACTACTTGTGTTTTTAGGATAACTATTAAACAGAGGGCCATAAATGTTTCCTGCTATAGCCATTGTGTTAGTAAGAATAGCACTGAATTGCTGAACAAGGGGTACTATGTGCGTAGGATCCGGGAAAACATTTTCGTCTAGCTGTAGGTATATTGTGTACACTATGGGCACATTTAGCTTTACCTTCACCCAGTCTGCACAGTTACCAGTGTAATTATCTGAAACAAAAACATTGAATATTCATAGAAGTTTCTATTGAAGCTAATTGCTGAAGGATACTTACAAAAAAGTCTTGCTGTGGATCCATAGTAGTAATGTGCATTGTGGTTCTCCCTTAGTTTATCAGTCACAGCTGATAGTATCTCTATCTGATTCGACAAACAAAGAATTAAAAAATAAGGCATCTATTTAGGAAATCAAACTATTTTTCCATATTTAAATTGGATATATAAATAAAAAAAGAAAACATACTCACCATTAAATCATAATTATTAGAAACATATTGAGCGTTAGCATAAGGAATTGTTATAAGTCTACTAAACCCTCTCAAGTTTATGAATGCTATTAGATTTGATGAACAATTGTTCAAAATTTCCTTCATTGCTCTAGTTTCTTTCTCGGATATTGTTTGATGGCCTCCAAATACTCCAAGACACTCATTTTGACGAACTGAAAATTACTATGCTTCTTAATTATTATAATTAGTCTGCTTGCAAAAGATGGTGCCATGATCTGGTTTGTTTTGTCTACAATAGATCTGCAAACATATTAAGTAAATCATTGACAGCTAATTTTATAGAAGTGGCCCCAAATTAGGAAATCAATTAAATAATTAATGTGTTATGCTTTAGGGTAACAAATATGGTTATGATTTAGAAGTCTACAATTCACATGTAATTTGATGGTTTAGTATATACTGAACACAAACATTCATGATGGGATATAAATAAAGAAGTGGAATACACTGCTAGTATCTATGTTTTCTGATAACTGAAATTTGGGACCATTCAAGACTAGAGTAACTATTTACTCTAGTCCTGAATGGTCCCAAATTACATGAGTCTGTGTAGTAAATACCTATGCATTTACTACACAGACTCATGACATTGTTAGCCACATCATAGTTTAACATCAGATTGCAACCAAGTATTTTTTTATTTATTCATTTATGGCTTGAAAATGTACACACACCAGCACATCAAGCTACACATTGACGTATCTTGTCCCATTGCAATGGAGGCGATTTTCGAACAAAAATGTGTAATCTGATGTGCTGTTGTCTGTACATGTGACACCCTATAAGGGCACAGCAAAGTGATGAGGGCACTTACTCATTATAAAAGAAATAAAATTGTGATCATATTAAATAAATCATTACAATTATACATGCATATATAATTGTAATGATTTATTTATTTATATATGCAATACATACAATACAAGAAATTTTAAGTCACTAATCAAGAATTTTACTTAATTTTGGGAAGAAAAACCAATTTCTATCGATGTTTAAGCCAACAGGCAGATGACCGGAAGTACACTTTATTCCAGTTTCAAATTCCACTCTGTTTTTTGCCCAAATTCTATCCTGAAATAAATAATAGTTCTGTGAATCGTACACGAAACTAAGTATTGTTGTAACTCAAAATTGTGGAATTGAGAGAATTCATCCATTATTTTTAAAATGTTAAATTAATTTAAAAAAAATACTGGATAAAACCAATATAAACTGTTTTTTTATTTTTAAATTGGAACAGTATGGGGAAATCTGAAAGTATAGGATATCTATTTACATTAAAAACAATTTTGGCATAGTAAATTTTTTGCTCAAGCGTGAGTTGTCCATTCAAATGAATAAAATTAATTATTTAACTTAGTACTGATCAATTCAGTTTCATGTAAGGATCATTTCATTGTATTGGAAGAAAAAAAATTGGAACAGCAGAATTTGGTCAAATTTAATAAAATGACAAAATAAATAAAATTGACTAAGTTTTCTAAATGCTGATAGACTCAGTTTGTTATAAGCATGATTTCTTTGTGTTAGAAGAAAAAAATTGGAATGGCAGAAGTTGGTCAAATTTAATAAAATATTATTTCATAAAAAATGCCTTAATGATACCGAAAACAGTTTCCCGTATTTCCTTAACGTAGGATTTCACCATACTGTCCCAGTTAAAAAAACATACTGTGTATATTCTTGTTTATAATTGGATAATTAAGTATTATTAACGTACATGTCATAAATAAATCATATTATTTGCAATAAAATCCATACAGTATTGTGTTTTCTCAAATTGACTTTTGAGTTACGACAATATGTGATTACAAGTGCGAAATGTGAACTCCCTTAAAATATTATATACAAATGACCAAATTCACAATCACTTACAAGTCAATCCATAGGCTTCAACAATTAAAGAATTTTACAATTTAATCACATCAGTCAAGTTCCTTGATACTTACAGGTAGACATATGTATATCACATTGTGCATATATTATGTCAATATACCATTATATCATATTAAACTATTAGTATGTAATTTATAAAAAATCTATAAGCCATTTCAAATCCTTATGATGTAATAAGCTTTTTTTTGCTCATAATATTATGTAATCATATAATTTAAAAGTTTAAATAAGGGACATTGTTGCACACTTGCTGCAATATTTAGAACTTAGCAAGTTTGCACTCATGAGTCTCTTATATTTAATTAATGATGCTACTGTAAATTTTATTATTACATGGTAAGTACAAATAACAAGTATGTGAAAACATACTAATATGACACTTATATGACCAACAGGAACTATGTCTTCCTCAGCTTGGACAGCTTTTGAGTGCTATGCTGAATTGGCTTCACCTTTACGTATTTATACTGAGACTAGCAGTATGTTTAGAGAAGTTTACAACTCAGTTAAGGATAAAATAACTGATCCCATTATGGAGGTCGTCCCATCATTCAATTGAGGAATAATCCAATGCCATGCTTTCCAAGCAGAACTTCTCAAAATAAATAAAAATGTATATATAAAAATATGAAAACTTGCAAAATTCTAGATATTGTATGCAACAATTTTTCTTATTTCAACATTTTAAATGACCTAAATATGTTACAGAAAGGTATTTTACAACAAAGTTTGAAACTGTTGTTGTTTATAAATTAAATGCCAATACATTTGTAAGGTACTGCCAATTTGCACATTGTCACTATAGGTATTTATTTTATAAAGTTCTGTACATACGTTTCACTAGACTTTATAGACACCCATTTAGATTCCAGTTTTTGGACTTACTCATTCTTTGATCTAAATTTAGATCCATTTACATGTGCGTGTTTTCATGGAACATTGACATTAGCAAATAATATAAAAATATCGCTTTCCACCTTATTAGAATTGCTTGCAACTATAACTTGCCTGTTCGAAACTGTAAACGTATCCATCTGGGTTAGCAACAGGTATAAAGTAAAAGTCATAATGTTCCACAAGTTTATCTGTTTGAGCATGGGTCAGTAAATGATTTATGTAGTTTAGAATAATAGCTGTTGTAATCCAATCTCTGCCCACCTCTGCACCGACCACAACAATTACAGGCTTTCCTCGTCCTGTGCTAATTTTTAATCCTATCACTTCTCTCTTCTGATAAGTTTTTGCAAGTACTTGTAGCTCTAAATGGGGAGAGTTTTTGGTCTTATTGTGAATCCAGTGCCTCATAGTATCCCAGTCTAGAAATGCGTTGTTTATAGACATTTTTGTTTTGTGTGTGTGATTAATTTTTTTTACGATGCTGTAAATTTTAAATCTTCACTCATTTTAAATCATAATGCCAATGAGACATATTATGTATTATTATGTAGTATTTGTTATTTTAATATGATATTGCATAGTTACATACCTCTTTGGATAAGCATAATGGTATTGTACGTTAAACATATTAAGAATGTCCTCGAAATCTTTTTGCGAATCGTCCAGAACTGCTACACTCATGGGCAAAGCAGCCTCATTTGTCACATCATTCAAAAATACAATGCTGGTATCTTTAACATGAAATGTATACAACATAGCTCTCTCGCGAGCGTTGTATGCTGTTACCTCATAAACAGTGTAATTATCTTTTGCCAGAGTAAATAACACATTTTTTACCAAAATTAATAAGATAATATGACTAAGAAAAGTCATACTTGTTTTTTTTTTTCTTCAACTACATAGTAATCAGTAAGGCTTTGATTACTTGTCATATAGATATTACATAATAGGTAATGTTACATTTTCACTTTTGTCAAATTTCAACATAACTTTAAGCTCAACTGCTTTATTTTTGTACATTTAAAACAAAAAAATATATGTATGGGCTTTATACATACAAAAATTATATGACGCTTTTTATTGTAGGCGCCTTTGTCTGCCCCTGGTAACGGTGGACCGGCAGGTGGTCCTATGGGAGGCCCCCCGCCGCACGGTGGCCACCCCCAAGGAATGCAGCCAGGTGTACCGCCAGCTCCTAGTCACATGCCACCGCATCACGCTATGATGGGTGGGCAGCCACCCGGGCCCGCTTATGGCCATGCGCCCCCACTTTCGGGAGGTGCGGCTCCACCGCCTGCGCCTCCTCCAAATGCAGGCGGCCAACAAGCGGGTCCCCCCGGCTCTGCTGCAGCTGGCCCCCCTGGATCGCAGACACCACCTCACGGCCACGCAGTGCCACCATCAGTCGCTGGTCAACCTCCATCTAACGGCGCCCCGCCCGGCTCTTCACCCATGCAAGGCTCGCTCCCCGCCCCTGGACCAGACAACCTCAACGCTCTTCAGCGTGCTATTGATTCGATGGAGGAGAAGGGCCTGCAGGAGGATCCTAGATACTCTCAACTTTTGGCACTCAAAGCGAGATCGAACCCTCAAGATCCGAGCAAGGGTTTGTTCACTAACAGCCAACTCGGCCAACTCAAGTGAGCGTCCAAAGCTATATACTATATGATATTTAGTTGGTCACTCAAAGGCTTCGCCCTGTGACTTTGCCTGCATATGTTTCAGAGCCCAAATAACGGCGTACCGGAATCTGGCGCGTAACCAGCCCGTGCCGCAGCAAATAGCTATGATGGCTGCTGGCAAAAGGACGAGTGACACGCCGCCCGAGTGCCCGACGCCGCCGGCCCAGCCACCGTCCCCATATAACCAGCAGCAGGTGAGAAGACTTTTCGTTCAGGTCTAACTCAACCAGCAAAAATATGTCCTATGAAAGGTTCTGTAAAAGTTGTTAATGATAGTCGAATGAAGGTGCAGTAAGCGTTAACTCAACACTATTACAACAGATTTTTCTGCTTACGATCATAAAAGTCTTAACCAAACGGGAGTGTAATACGCACTGTGTAAAATATATATCTATGCAATCATTGTGATACTGCTTGGACGAAAAATATAAAATATTGTTCGGCAATTGTCCATTTCTACGTTGTTGCCATGCATGATTTTCCTTCGGTATTGCAAATAAGATTGTAAGTCGACGAAATTGTGGTGGTTATTGAAACGGTACGTGAAAATAACGTTTACTATGTATTTTTGAGCCTTTTCAATTTACCAGTAAATGTTCATTCATTTAATTTTTATTTGAATTATAACAAAAAACACTTTGAAGTCGACATAACTTCACGTTTACAATTCTTCTGATTAAATGTAATGTTTTACAACTTTTGTTCGATTGTCAGCAAAAACTCGTTTCTTACTCGATTATTTTGCTGGTTGGGATTTCGCGCCCTACAGAAATATGTTGCGTCGATGTAAAATTTAAAACAGCGACGTTTATGATACACTGGAGTCGTACATCGCAGGGGCAGAATCAGCCTGCGCCGTCGTCGGGCGGGGCGGGGGGCGTAGGCGCGGCAGGCGACGCGGCGCGCGGCGGCGGCGGCGCGCCTCCCACGCCGCTGCCCATGACGGGCCAAATGGCGCCGCCCACACTGCCAACGCCGCCGCTCGTGGCTCCGGTCAGTCCTGACGCATTGGCCCTGCGATGGATGACCCCCGCTCCTGTCGCTAGCAGACCTTTTTAGTTCTTGTTCATTATCAGTCTTCGAACTTTACCTAATGATTTTTTGCAGCCCATGGGAGGCGCACCGCCGTCGTTGCGTGGTCCCGCGCCAGTGCGTCCGGCGGGGCCGGGGGCGCCCAATGCTCAGCCCACGCAGCAGGTAAGACAATCAACATTAACCCATTTATACGTCCCGTTACTGGGCGTGAGTCTTCCCTCTGGCGAGGGTTTAGGCCGTGGACCGACATGGCAAATAAAATTAATAAGAAATACCCTTTTCTCAATGATGCTTGGAATTATTGCACTATTTTCAAAAAAGAACTAATTACCTACGTGGCCGAACGGTTACTATGCTGGACTGCCACGCAGAGGTCCCAGGTGCGATTCCCGGACAGGAAGAAACATTTGTCTGGCCTGCATTTGTTTCTCGTGAGTTTGGGTGTGATTTGTGGTGGGAACCGCGACACAGGGTTTCTCTAGTGCGGGGCTATGTTGAGTGTGTGCGTTATTATTATAAAAGAACAGACAGTTTGTTATTTATTGACTGTGCACTCTTGCCGGTCTAGGCCAAAAAATTAAATTTATAGAGTGCTTCTATTTTCTGTCCCATGTCTCAGGCAAACTTCGTGTTCGGCTGTCGTCGGGTTTTGCAGGTGCCCTTTGCCTTTGGTACAAACCGGATGCTTTCAGTGTACTTGGAAGTATATAGAGTTGCTATTATATGTTTTATTTATTGTACAATGGAAGGAAAGCCGCTTAGGTTATGGCGTGTACTTGTATTTTGTACAAGAAACCGATGCGTTCAAGAAAGACAATAATGGTTATTTTTTAAAAGTCCAAAAACATGTTTCTGTAGCTTGTAGTGTTTCAATCGGAACAGTAATGAATATTTTAAAGTATATGATAAAAAGAGAAATCAGTTCCTTTTGGACCACTGTCTGAACTGTACATGGACAATTTTATAATAAATACCTGTTCGAGCAGCACGGAAAGTGATTATTCCATCGATGGCAAACATGCTAACATAGCTATGTCAGATGAAAAAATGCGTTCAGATACGGACCGAATTGAAATTATCAATAACTCGAGAAATATTTATTTTATTTACTTTATATTTTGTTAACTTGCTTATTGACATGGAGTAAACACGGAGTACATGTTATGAAAATTAGAGAAATATATGAAAATTCAAATTATTATGAATTTTAAATGTAATAATAATGAATGAGCATGGAAATTAATATTCGTGTGCTTTTTGAAATCCGATGATTGCCGAGAGATTGAGAAAATAGAAGCACTGTACCTATTAAGTAACAATGAACTATATAAATAGAAGAAAGAGAAAATGTCATACAACCAACATTTAATATCATTGCAACCAACTAACTGCACACTAATAATATTTTTTTGCTTTTTAATTATGGTTAAAAAAAAGGAAAAAAAAAAGTTTTTTTATCTATATTATATTTTTTATTATGAATCTTGTTAGTGAGCCAGCAATAAACAGAAACTTTTTTCTTTCAGCTATTGTCCTAATGTGTCAAATGTTACTTTTAACTTTAATGAATTAATATTTTCTAGTTTTTATGTTGTATTTCATTATTCCTATCATTGTTTGAGAAAAGCACTATATAATACCTCTTACCTCATCTTTAAATATTTATCTCGTTCAACCTGTCACCCTGTATAGTAACTATGGACTTTAGTATCATTTAAAGTAATATTGTAGAAAAAATGTGGGTTACACCAGTTTTGCACTGATAGCCTCAGCTGCTACGCACACTGGACTAGCAGTCCCTTACTTCCCGGCATTAGTCAAAATGCATTATACTTTGCAGCCCGGCGGAGGTCCAACTCCAGGAGCGAAACAAAATCGAGTTACGAGCATTCCTAAACCAGTGGGAATTGACCCTCTACAGCTTCTCAATGAAAGAGAAAATAGGTGAGTTCCTTAGTTTAACCTTGATTCATTGATTTATAATTATTTTATTTATTGATTTTAATATTAGGGGTTAAAGTATGAAATTGCCGTTTTATTGCAATAGGTTC